AGCGAGTTTTGCCAGTGGTTGCCAAACTTAGAAGGTGGAATGGGAACCTCAATTAAGTTTTTAGAGATATTTTAAAAGGGACGCTGCTGCCCATCTCTTTACAATTATGTTTCATTAGTCGCTTCTTACGCACCCTCAGATAAGGAAGGGGTGGCCTATTTTATGCCGGAACCACACGCAGTACTTACCTTACCAATATTATAAATATAAAAATGAATATTTATTTGTTACCTCTTGACGCCTTAACCGCTCAACCGATCTCCATGAATTTTGATATACAAATACTATTGGGGATGGATTAGGACGTAGTACTATTTGCCGAGTCAATCAACATATCCAGGTCACGCGGGCGAAGCCACGGGTATAAGCTAGTATACATATATAGATTCGTAACTTCCCAGGGGATGTTAGTTCGAATTTATTGTAACCGCATTCCGTAACAAACGTCCGTACCGTTCAATACTCACTGATATTTGTTAGTAACCGCAGTGGTAAATTTTACCCCCTCTGCTTTTACATGTTTATTCTCTCATTCAGTTGAGAATTAATTTGTAATGAGTATGAAAAATAGAAGAAGAGTCTGGAGTCAAAATATGCGTAAATGCGTGAACTTTTCTGGGTATGTCAACTATGCAGTTTATCCTTTGGACCTACACTAATTTACTGAGTGAAGCACAAAAATATGTTATTATTAAGTTGTTATGTAACACATAGAGGAGGTGTAAAATTTTGTGTTTTATATAAAAAAATAAATAAATAAAAAACGTTGAAACTTATTAATATTGTAATATAGTCCTATAGCAATAAAAAAAGTACTGTATTATATTTTTATCATTTGAAACTTTCAACCAAAAGGAGGTGGATTAACAGTGTTTGTTATTTAACATACTTGAAAAATATCTATGATAATATACTCAGAATAAATCAAATAGCTATATGAAAAAATATAAGTATACTTAAAAAACACATACTCCTCACAATTAAGTAATGGTCCTACTTCAGACACCAGTTCTTCATAATACATTAACTTATATAACATCCAATAATAAATATATTAGAATATAATAGATGTACAACCGGTATTGTGAAGGGAATAAACTTTATTATTATTATTATATGTACATATATTCTAACACTACATTAGTTTTATAATATACACACATTCTAACATATAATCTCTATTTATTTTCTACTCAACAGAACTTTTATTTGACAGTTTTCTTTTTGGGTATTATTACTATAATTAAAAGCCATAATATTAGTAAATTGCTTTCTACTAGTATTCAGTACATTGTTATTGGTTTGACCAACTTTAACGCAATAGTCGATCGACTATTTATTTAAGTTTATCTATAAATGGAAAGTAAATAATTTTAACTGAACTACATTGCCACTGTACCAGATTTCTGCATGATCGGGACATTGAATGACTGAAATATAAATTAACCTGTTGATACATCTTTTCCGTCATTTCAAATATTAAGTTGGTCCATTAAAATAAAATGAAATGAAAAGCGAAGATATGAGATGGTATCATATAATTAAAGATTGTGTCTCACATAGAAAAAAACGTCTTCGATTGTGACGAAACCAGTTATTTTAATCCAAAAACTAAACTACTAAACCGATTTAAAAAAAAAAAATTGTGGGTCAATTTGTAAAATCTGATTTAAAAACTAAACTACATAATTCAGTTTTTTCTATGAAATCAATATGAAAGTATATCCTTCCAAATAAAAAAAAAGAGTTTTTCAAGTCGATTTAGAACTGGGATTGAAGTTATGAGATAAAAAACATAAAAAAAATACAACTAAATTAAGAACCTCGTTCTTTTTGAAGTCGGTAAAAATGCGTCCATATATACATGTGTGCGATTCATATAAACGTCGAGTTTTAATTAACATTCATGTTACTTGTTTCGTAATGAACCTGACATGGAGCGGGAAGGCTTTATTTAAAATTAAAATGTATGGAGTATTTAACAGGGCTTGTTCGCAAAAGTTTGTTCCGTATGATAACCGGACGAGATGGACTGACTCTTTTACTTGAGCATTATTATTTATTTATTTTTATTTTAACTGTTAACTGTCCACTGTTGAACATAAGCTTTCCCCATAAGGGGAGTTTTGCTAGTAGTTGCCATGCTTAGCAGGAAGGTTGGCAGCAGCAGTTAGGCTGTTAGAGATGTTTTTAGAGGGGCATTGCTGCTTCTCCTTCGCCCTCGCTTAGTCACCTCTTATGACAACCTCGGGAAAGAAATGGGTGACCTATTCTATGTCAGGACACAAACGGTGTTAGTTATTTATAATAAAAAGAAATTATGTTCTACATATAAAAATTTTGGCCGTGTGGTCCGGCATAAAATTGGCCACCCCTTCCTTTCCCGAGTTGTCGTAAGAACCGACTAAGGAAGAGCAAGGGATGGGCAACAACGTCAACATATATATATATATATATATATATATATATATATATATATATATATATATATATATATAAAATCTTTATTTCTACATTAGTACGTGTATTTTCTGAAAATATTTTAATGTATAAATTAAATATACATTAATGTTGAGAGATGAAGCAGTTGGTAACATTTAATATAAAGGACAAACAAACAAATATAATTGAAGCTAGTTAAGCGGAAAACATTATCAATGGATGTCTTAGATGATTTTCTGCATAAATAACTTCATTTATATTTATTATTTATTTTATTTTTTACTGTCCTGGAATACGTACCCAATTATGTACGTACGAACTTAATACCTTATGGTACCTACCAGATATTCACTAAGTAGAAACTGTTTCAGTTTCTTTGTTTAAAAAAAAGAAAACGTGAAAAATATTAATGGGCAGTAGTGAAAAAAAAAAGTATAATATTTATAAAATACTGAAAACAAAACTGGCACATGCACGTTAGCCTGCAAACTAATCAAAATATTAAAAAAACCTTTAGTTTTTTTTTATGCAACTTAGAATGGAAGCCCACCTGGGCTGTCAGCTTGTTTTCATCAGGTGATGGAAAGTGGTAACCGTCGCCTATAGACATAAGCAGTACCATGTACATAACAGAGTATACTGTTTCGCCCATGATACCTCCCTCCCATCTTTCGTTGTCATTCCTGTTTGTTTGTTTACACTTGCTCTTATCCATACCGTTGCCTTCACCATACCGTTACTAGACAGGCTAATATGGATACCGATATTTATCTATATATTGGATTATTCCAGACATTAATAGCGGAAAAAGGTCATCACCCATTTCGATATTGTCACTCGTGTTGGTCGGATATCTATTTTCGTATATCTAAAAGTCTGTTAGCCAATATTATTTTTTGGATAACAGACTTTTAATATATTCGTTATTGGTCCAGTACATAGATATTGTAACTAAAATATATAGGTATTGCTATATATTATTCAGCCCTAACTGTTCCATTTTTATTTAAAAAAATTGTTGTAATTTTTTTTTTGTGCTGAATAATTCCTTTGCACTTGTTAACGGGAAAGTATTCGAAGCCTTTTTGCGGTGAAATGAGGAAAAAACATGTCTTGCCACTCTAAGACGAGGGCGGTTTTCTTTGCTCGTCTTGAAAAAAAGATAAAGTCAGTATAAATGTAATACAGGAAATAAACGGCTAATGCATTCTTGTATAGATATACTCGTATGTACTATCTTTTTTTTATACCACTTAGAATGGCAAACAAGCTGACGGCCCACCTGATGGAAAGTGGTAACCGTCGCCTATAGACATAAGCAGTACCATGGACATAACAGAGTATACTGTTTCGCCCATGATACTACCATCTACTAATAAGTACTACAAAATGTGAAAACTTATAAAGATATTTGAGTGTTCATTACTCAATTGCTGTTAAACCAACAGACATGGACTTACATAGATATAAACAAATTATAGAATTTAAAGTTTCATCTATGTAAGATGAATCACGTTCTAGACACACTTCTCTCTATCACATTGTAGGTTACGTTTTATATTAATACGCGTAGGCAAAGCCACGGATTACAACTAGTACATGATAATTGCAATAAGATGATAAATAATAATAAATAGAAATGATAAAGAGTATCGTATCCTTATTATTATTATATACTTATTTAAATAAAAGTTCCAAACTTATAAGATACTAGCTATTACCCGTGACATTGTCTGCGGGATCGGGCACTGACTGAGATGAAATAGCCTATACCTTTCTCCAACCCTTATAATATAAGTATATCGGGGCGTAAGGGATTATTAGTAATGGGATCTGATTGACCCATTGCTAGCAATACACCCTATCAGGTCGACCTCCACGCGGTTCCCCCTGGAAACCGTCATGGTTAATTCTAGTGCAATTCGTCACGATGGGCTAACTGGCCTGCCTTTTCATCCTTACCTGTCATCCCTCACCGGTGCCCCGCCAGCGTATCCCGTATAGCGCAGGCGGGATTACCATTCCATTATCACCTATTAAAAAATTTCCAAATATATCATATTTGTCAGTTAATGGCTGTTATGTTATGGCTGAATGTTAGAGCCGTAAGAAGTAACTAAGAAACACATATTCATATTTATAATATTAATAGATAGATAGATAAATAATCTTTATTACCAGTAATAATATTTAAAAAAATCAACAATAAGGATGTAAAGTCCTTAAGTTTACATCATCATCATTGTCAGTCTACTACAAACTACTTCTGGACATAGATCTCTCCCAAGGCACCCCACTGAACAAGTCTTCATACTTCTTGACTATTGTTCTTAGCTACGTTACACGTCAAATAAATTCAATACGATCAAAATAAACTGTATAAATGCAATAAACGCGAAAATATATTTTTTTCAATAGGTACAAAAACCCCAACCGAACTCCCTAACAAAGCCCATCAATCTATTCCGCTGACAGCGAATCTATTGTAATTCTTATTGCCAATATGATAACAAAGGGTCCGGGAAGGTAAACTAATAAATTATCCTCTCTTGTTCCAGAGTTTGATGACGATTATCAAGTTTGGGTACACCCTGGTGGTCGTTACGCTTCTATTGATGATATGGGCATCACTGTCGAGAGCGTTAGACGTGAGTATATTTTTTATTATACAAAAACCTACTAATATTATAAATGTAAATGTTTTTAAGGGTGTTTGGATGTTTGTTGCTCTATCACGCTTAAACAGCTGTGTGGATGAGAATGAAATTTAGTACACGAATAGATTATATTTTAAATATACAGAATACACTGTATACTGATTTACGCAATTAAAGCTACGGGGAATAACTAGTTTTTACTAACATTATACAAATGTGATAGTTTTTTTTTTATTACATTATAGCAGTGTGACGGCTTAACCAATAACTGTAAAATTTGATAAATGGAATAGAGGAGGATATACGCTACTTAAAAGTATATTCACTGACCAGAATAAATTTTGGTCAGTGAATATATCCCGGTCACGTGAACGAAATCGCGGGTAAAATCTAGTATCATTATCATCATAACCTTTGGGGGGTTTTACTAGTAATTGCCGCGCTTGACAGGCGGGTTGGCAACCTCAATTAGACTTTGGTGATGTGGTAAGACTGACGCTGCTGCCCATTCTTCGACTATTAAGTTCTCTTAGTTGCCTTTTACGATATCCACGGTAATGGAAGGATTGCCTATTTTATTCCCAGAGCACACGGCAAAAATCTAGTATAATACACATATATTATTTTGTTACATATTAATGTAGGCATGAGTAGTGTATTGTGACCCACATAAAATGGAATGATAACCCTGAAAGTGTTGCAAAGAGTTAATTGATATAAGTGACGGTATAATGATTACTGTCAACAATGGAATAAATATTGATGTATAATTCCCTAAGCTGTTCATAAAATTCAAATTTTTATACTTCTAAATACATCATCTGGGTTTTAGAGTTTTTTATAGCACTATACCATTTCAATGTATCAATCTTGATCTCAATGCATCCAATCTTTTTTAAAACTCAAAAACATCTAGAAAAGTAACTCAGAATACCAGACCATTGGTCAATTCAGAAAACTTTATTACCTAATCTCATGAAAAACAAACCCAGTATCTTAGTGGTAATCAAATTATATGTGTCTCAAGCATATTAATAAGTATACTATCACACCAAACGCCTATGGTATTAAAGCTAGGATATGCTGTGTTGTAAGACACCAGGCAACGAACATCTGTGGGTACCACCCAAAACATTCAAATCCGATACAATTTAGGAAATATTTCCTAAATTGACTTGACCAGAATTCGAACCCAGAACCTCGTTACATGAATAAATATGTTCAATACTATGCTACGCAGATCGTCAGTTATAATTAATAATTATTAATATTTATTCTAACCTTTCTACCTTACAGTTACACGTGGACACAGGGCATCCACCGTGCCTTTTTCAAGCATTATGTACGTGCTCCAAGCCGGCTGGAGATTTGGGCATTGTGACTTGCAATCACGTGCCCATATACAAGGTTCCGGCTGCAGTCAACAGCTCTAAAGTGTTTATGTTACAACTTACAGGAAACAATATAAGAGATCTGGAACCTCAGTTCTTCCAAGCTACAGGTAATATTCGCAATACTACGCTCTTAAATATTTTAATTTTAGACTTTAGTCTTCAGAAATAGCAACACACTACTCTTCATCAGGAAGGCCAACATCATGTTTCAATTCCAATTTGTATAAGAAATGCCTTTATTATCTCTTTAGTATTCTCTAATTACAGATTTTTTAAATAATATCTGGCAATCTTCTAATACCAAGATACGTCAATCACTTTAGCGATCATTATATCAATCGTTCTTCTTCATAATTTAATTATATTAGGTGTTTGCATAAGTAAATTAACAAAAGAAAGTAATTAATTACAGAACCAAAGAAGTACATTAATTATTATTTGTAACTTACGAAACAAGCTTAAAAACAAAATAAATCAAAAGCCACTTCACTCTTTATTATTAAAGATCCTCTAACAACTCTCCCAACACATTTTCATAAAGGAAAGTTTTACCTGCATAAATCTGGCCCACCTGTATTTTGTAACAGAAGCATGTTGGTGTCGTGTTTCAAACTTCCCGCTGAATCTTAACCTATTAAATAATTCATTGCAGGATTGTACAGACTAGCAATAAACCAGAACCCTCTAGAGATGATCCACGAAGAAGCATTCCACGGACTAGAAAACACATTGTGGGAACTAGAACTGAAGGAAGATAAACTAACGGCGGTGCCAAGCAGATCTCTGAGATTCCTGCAAAAGTTACGACAACTTGATTTATCAGGTAATTTAAACTAGTTCAAATCTGGTAGAATCAGAATCCGCCAGTCTGTAAGGAATAAGTATGGACTTTGTAAGGAATTGAGAATGAATCATGAAAAGAGGTACTTTTAAAAGGAATTTTAATACTAGGTAACTTATTACGGAGGTTTCTGCAAGAGACTCGGAGTCGATTTCTTTTTGAATAATTTAAGCCTTATCTCGTGATTATTTTAAGATAGAATAACTATGAAATACTGAAATAATTTAACGACCAGGAAAGTATAGATTTTAAAAATATTCGTCACTTAATCAATTTATGAGTTTTGACGTTTGATATTCTTGCTCTTTAATTGAATGGTTAGTTATTTTCTTAGCTTATAGTTATTGTATTATTAAATAAAAAGTATATACATTATTTTTAGATATCGTATTAGTTTTTGTAACGTTTATACATTATAATTTAAATGTTTTTTTAGGGATCTGTTTAATCATATATCAAACTTTTTTTGATGTAATATACTATTTATACTATATTAATCATTGTTTTTTAATTACATTAGTAATCATGTATTTAACAAAAGTTAATATAAAAATTTATAATAAATATAATTATTAACAGTATCATATTTTAATTTCAGGTAATGAAATAACGGAAATATCAGGAGAGAATTGGAGAGGACTGCAGGATACGTTGCATACGTTGATATTAGCAGATAATTCAATAGCAACGCTACCTTTGGATGCTTTCTCTGGACTGCCTATGCTGGAAACTTTGGACCTCCATGGAAACCATTTAGCAGTAATTGACAGCGGAGTCTTTCGAGATGGGATGAGCAGGCTGAATAAGGTAAGTTATTAAAGTTGATAAACATAATTTTGTCTTAAAAATTACGAAACATACCTCGATTTTTTTATTTGCAAAGTTTACTACATTTATATGATAGAATACACATTATATAGATCTCTCAATACGCCACAATAGGACAGTATAATTAATATATTGACACATTCTCTCTAGATAACTATGATCATCTTGATGCGCAATCTCAATGAAGTGGAAGGAAAGAATTCTAATTTCAAACGCCAACACAAACCAATAGAGATATAAATATATACCCCGCATACAGCGCATAAAACGTTATCATTCCATTTTTATCTACATAAAAAAACTTCTACTTGGTGGACTGTAACCACAGAACAGACTGAACTATCGTTAGAATATCTTTACCATTTTCTGGTATAATCTAGCTAAATGCAAATAACGTCATTACAATGTCATTCACTATACCCTTAAGCTATATTTGATTTCACGTTATGATTCTCATGCAATTTTTATCCAATAATCGTTCCTGTGCTTATTTCTCTATTACATAATATATTTTACGAAATTATAATTTTTTTTAGATATGCATATTTAGTTGTAGTTACTGTCATAGAGCAAGTTCGCACTACATGTTTAATACTGCTTCATAGTTTGTAGGTCGTCTTCGTTGTGCCACGAAGGCCTCTTCATGTTCTACTGCGTGACAGTTTTATGTGTTCTCCAAAGCATGAAGCGATTAATTTTAATTCCATCCGAACATTTGAATTTGAGCATTTCAAAGATTTCAAAGATCTGGAATATTTTAGGATCACGGAATTTCGACTGCGGTATAATCAAATATTTGGGCAAAGTCACATTATTGATTTCCATCTCGTGACATAGTATTCTTAGTTATCTATAGTGTTACATTTTCCTCGTAAAAAAGAAATGCCAGTAAATTCTTATCTTCAATGTTGTTGAAAAAGATATCAATCATATTAGAAATGTCCTAGTGAAAATAGCGACAATGGATGTTTCTTTTAATTATTTTAAGGAAAGGGCTCAGATAATAAAAGAGGAAATATACTCTCCTACTATTAAATCATTTTGTCATATTTCAAGAATTTTAACGATCCACTGTTAGAGTGTATACGATAATTAGTACTTTATTAAAAGAGGAATAAATTTTACATTACTTTATTTATAGCATCTGAGAGTACTATTCTATACTTGATGGTTAAACATTTACAGTACCAGATTCGTAATTATATTTTTAACCTGACACTTCTGTCTCAACCTTTTCAGTTGCTTCTGAGCGATAACCAGCTATCATTCATCCCATACGAAGAGATTGCTCCGCTGCGCCAACTAAGGTTCCTGGATCTCGCCAACAATATCATCAAGCAAGTGCCGCCAGCGCATGATTTGAACAGCGTCAGGCTAGCATTAGATACTTTGAAGTAAGTGCATCTTAAATCGACTTCTAAAAACACATTACGTATCCTGATCGAAACGTCAAAATAAGCCAGATAAATTATCATATTTTATCTAAATGATCGCGTTCATTTCCGTCTCTTATAAACCATAGACAATGTAACGCAAAATCTGAAACTTTACATTACAGTATATTTTGCTTCGCAAATTATAAAAAAACACAACTGCCCTGCTAAAACGAATTATTTTCCAAGAAAATCATGGCCTGTATTATTCTTGATAATATAAATATTCTAATGATACCTCACACACCCAAATCTATTAAACCCTTTTGAACAGTCATATAATAAGGTAGTTATTTCTACACATTTTCAGATTTATAGACCGATTATTTTGATAAGATTTAAATAGAGCATTTTATGTAAAAATGTAATACGAGTAGTAATGGTCTCAGGAATATATCTAACAAAGGTAAATGTAATCTAAGTGATCTCAACAACAACTAAAATATGTGTAGTTTATGTACATTTTAAGAGATTTCTAAAGGATTTTTCATTTCAAATAATTTGTATGTGTTTGGTGTATATCTATATATGTATATTACGCAAATTCCAATATTTATTCTAATTTTGATCAGATTTTGATATTTGCATTGCATTTCATTTTGTAATGATTGTAGTGGCAGTTTGTATTGTTTTCAACAAAAATTTTCAATTGTTAAAAAAGGAATCGTTATACCCTTTGGTTTTTTATTTAATTTAACAAACACTAAAGTCTTAAGTTTGAACACCGTGTTGGTATTGTCAGTATCAAAAATGTTTTTTGATCACTTCTGAGTAATTCTTATGTGATACAAAATGTCTTTAACAAATAATTGTAAAGATTGGGATGAGTGCGCCCAAAATACGTACTTACATAATTTCTAAAAAAGGAAAGTGCATACTTAGTATAATTTCTTTCCACAGATTGGACAACAATATCATAAACACGCTAATGCCAGGGTCTTTCAAATACTTCAGCGTATTGAACACTACATCTCTCGACAGAAACCCCATTTATGTTATAAGGGTAAGTACTTGTCTACTTTATATACCTACTTACGTTAATAAAAGAAATTAATCATGTACTTTTAGAGTTTTCTATCATAATTTTTCTTTTGACCCAATATAAATTTGACTTTATAAAATTTGAAAATCCCAGTTCAGTTTATCTGGTCAAACTCAAAACTCTCAATCAGTCACACGTACTTAAGAACTGCTAAAGAATGTTTATACTGAAATATAGAAAATAAACAAAACATATGAATTTTCAAAAATTATTTAAAGATTTGATACATTTCTAGAATTTTATATACTATCATTATTGGTTGTATTTAATTAAAAAAAAAATATTTAAAAGAATAGCAAATATGAAGTAGTTTTTTTAGTAACAAATTTATGTACAACTTGAATATCATCATCACGAAATACATCACCTTTACTATTGTAATTGTAATCCATTATCTACTTTTCGTCATATTTCATCTCAATATTAGTGAATTGTATAAAAATAACAAACATTTTAATATCACATTATGTTAAAATTACAGGAAGATGCATTCCGTAACGCAAAAATCAAGACACTCTCTCTCCGGGACTGTGCGATCTGGGATCTGTCGCCGGCATCGTTTGCCGGACTCGAGAATAGCTTGCAGAGTCTAGACCTTTCGGAGAACAACTTGACTATGATATCAAAATTTATGTTGAACAAGCTAGATTCTTTGAGGTTCCTCAACCTTAGAGAGAATAAGGTAAGAACTTTTATATAATTTTGAATGGTAAACAGACCTATCTGATGCGTAGTTTAAATCATCATCCATAATAAAGACATGAATAGTACCATAGGCATAACGGAGTACAATGAGACGTTCAAAACACATGTGTGTATGTATTCCACATGTGTTGCTATTCTTGAGAACTCTATGTAATGTCTCCGTACCCTGTAGTTTCAGTGCCATATTTCACCTTTCACTAAAATATAACTCTGCAAGCGCAGCTGCTTTATGGCAGAAATACGAATGGGGTAGAAACACGTGTAACTTGTTGCCTTTTAATCTAAACTTGAGAAGGGTTTGATATCTCTTAGGGTAACAAGGACCTTTATCCTTTGACTTTTAAAGAACTTAATGTCAATCATTTTGACTATCTTCTTAATCAATTAGAGAGTAATGAAGTGTTTAAATCTTTATGTATGTACATTTAATATTTATTGCCTAGTTTGGAACTGGATTTTATAAAGTGAAAAAAAAAGCTCTGAGAATAATCACTCTATTTTTTAAATAATAGAAAGACTGGCAAAAACGAAATTAGCTAATTACTACTAAATAATTTTTTTACAGGTAGATATCAATTTACTGGCAAGCAATATTCCATCAGAGTACGCCCAATTATCTTTCAACAATTTTCAATACAGATTATTTAATTTGGACATAAGTGGATCGTCTTCTATTGAGATGAGTCTCCAGGATATAAGAAGGTATGTGGAATTTTCAATTATATTAATAATGAATAGAAAGTTCTCGTAGACCGATTCTCATAAAAATCATTGAATGAAATATCGTTGAAATTGAGAATTTCAAATCAAATATCCAATATACAGTATATAAATATCAAATATACAGCACTAAAAAAAAATATTTTAGCATAATATTTCTTATGAAGTTGATATCATAAAATAATTGTGGAATGGTTAATTTTAAACTTTTTCGTTGTTTACACATATTTTAAATAGACAATCGAGACTTAACGCGATGAAAAACCTTTTCAGGTAAATAGTACCTAGGTATATGGTATACCTTTGTGTATTATTATTTTTTTCTCATTTATGTTATCTCGCTTTTTTTGTATATGTATGTTGTAATTTGTGTGCTGTAAGTAATGCAAATAAATTATCTATCTATCTATCTATCTACCTGCTTCTTTATTACCGACGTTTAAATAAAGAAGTATATATTATTTACCTGCAAAAGTTTTTCATCGTATTAAATCTCGATTGTGTATTTAAAATAATTGTAGATTAGCATAATGTAAAGATAAAACGATTTTTGAGGAGAGTTTGATTAGTCTTCACTATTTTAGTATGCCAATATGAATATAGGAGTGTCAATTGAATAGAATAGAATATGAAATATTTATTGCCAAAAAACAAACAATTACAACAGAAAATACATATATAAGAAGTGTTTCATATTAGGCAAAAGGAACTGTCTTAGCTGATGCTGTAAATGTCCCAATGCAATGTGTACAGCTACACATCGCTGGTTTTCAGTCAGTCCAGCAATTGATGCGATTGTCATACCATAAAATATAACTATTTATTCTGATTCATACACATATTTATTATATGAGGTTATACTTTGGCTTCTGTACAAAAGTAAAAAAAAATACCTTTTTATCGCTATAGGTAGTAGAATCATAAAACGGTCCGTATTTATAATATGTACTCTCATTTTGTAATTTGAATTCACTGTATTTTTGCTCTTTGCCTATCAAAGCTGACATCCTACCTGATAGAAAGTAGTAACCGTCGCCTATAGACATGAGCAGTACCATGGACATAACAGGGTATACTGTTTCGTCTTGATACCCCCCATACGTTGCCATTCCTGAGAACTCAAGTGTTATTCCTCTGTACCTTGTAAATTTACGCCATATTCCACCCTTCAAACCGAAACACAGCCATACAAACACAACTGCTTCACGGTAAAAACACAAATGGGACAGAGGTACTCAAGCAATCGACTTTTGTACAAAGTCTCCCTCTGGCAAAATTAATAATATATCTAAAATTATAGTATACTATTTTCAGAATGAGATCTCTTCGATCAGTATCAGTAGGTAAACTGATAAGACGAACTATAAGAGCTGAAGACTTCCAAGAGTTCGGAGTGGAGTTGGAAGATCTGAAAATCTTCGGCAGCAATATCAACAAAATAGAATCTAGTGCGTTCCAACACGTCAGGACTATTAAAACATTGGATTTATCCGAAAATGACATAGACTTTATAGACCCATTTGCATTTGCTGAGGTAAATATTGCTTTAATAATGATAAACATTAACTATACTGCAAAATTAAGATAACTGAGACGTTATTAATGAAAGTCTATATTCCTAAAATTATTATTTAAGAAAATATGTTTATAAATTACTTAGTTACATGTACGTAATGTATTTTAACCTAATCCTCTAATATTATCCTTATTCTACTAATTAAAATTTAATTATATACATAGTTCAACCCAACACACTTTTAGACCTATGTTTAATAATAGACAATGAATGGCTGCCACTAATAATAATAATATCGCCATAATGATAATTTAGAACTATTCAGTATCTTTTCAATTTATACATTCTATAATACATGTATTTATTTCATTTCAGTTGCACAGCTTAACGACCCTAAAAATGGCAAACGGTCTATCAGAGACAGTAAAGATCTTACCATTCGAGCCTCTAAAAGCATTGATTGAGCTACAATACTTGGACTTCAGTAATAACAAGTTAAAGAATGTTCCAGATACGTCGTTTCATTTCTTGTACAAATTAAAATCACTGAATCTACAAGACAATGCTATTGATCATTTCTCGAAAGGAACTTTACAGGTTAGTGATGAAGTAAATAATTTGAGTGAACCCAACACATCATGTTATGCAATTAAAACATTAAAGGCAACAAAAAAATAGCATAAACGTCACTTTAAAACAAAAATATTGGATAAGTACTCCATATGAGCCCTAAAAATTTGCTACTCGTTTATTAATAAAATAAAGATTTTACACATTAATAAGCAACCTAATAAATACCTAACAAATAATACATTTAACGCTTAGGTAAGGGCTTTTCGAAGTTATATTGTTAAATATGTAACATATTTTAATAGTGTTCTAATAAAACAAATCTAGAGTCGTCTGTTTTCATTTCCTAGCTAAATTATAATAATAATATCACTATTTTCTCATCCCCAATATCATCATATGCAGTCTGTTCTGCTTTGTCTCCAACTACATATTTTCTTTATTTTTTTGTTACAGGGTGATATCCACGGAAAGTTAGAAAGCATTTGCCTATCATTAAATCAATTGAATCAATTAGTTCAACATACATTCGTAGATTTAAAAGAATTGCAAGAAATTCTAATAGAAGACAATTTGATAGAAATTATTCAGAGGCGAGCGTTTACTGGTCTTGATAATTTGAAAGTAATCCGATTGAGAGGTAACAGAATTTATGAAATTAGCGAGGAAGCATTCCAGAATATTCCAGCTCTTAAAGAGTAAGTCAATGATTTATTATAAATGCCATAAATAATCCATTTTTATAATAATTAATTTCATTAAAAATTTGACAATTGATTTGATTAATATTCAATCACTGTTGTCTAAACCAGTTTTCATTTTAATTTGCAGGATAAGAGGAATTAAAATAACATGTTCTTAATTTATTAATTTTACAAAATATTTACTTAAATAACAGACGTTTTAAAAAATAAATTTTATATTCGGTAATGTTGTTTCAGGCTGGATGTGTCATTTAACCGGCTCGATACATTCAAATTTTCCATCTTCGACCAAGTTGGTTCAGCCACAGCACTGAAAGTCAATGCATCGTACAACAGAATCATTGCACTCACAGACTCTAATGCACCCAGCTTCTTCACCAACAACTTTTTTATACCCAAGGCTCAGAGTAAGTTGTTAATTGTCACCATTACCAAGTTTTTTTAAATATACCTTATTAGAAATTAATATATGAAAATGTAATATTAAATTAATATTAATTTCCAGTATTTATTTTATTTTTATTTTCTGGTATAGATTCATCAACAGTTATAGAAATGTTATATTTAATATCTTTTGTCATTAACCTATTATTACTCATTAATATAATAGTGGCCTCTTTATATATTTATATCTTTTTACTACTTTTTTCTTTTAACGTATCTTCTTATCATATTATTATTATTAATTAAGTTTTTTTTATTTGTTTTTGCTCTCCTTTATAATTTTAAAATAAATTTCTTCTAATGCTTTTATCTAATTTTAACACAGGCTTGGTATCTGATGCGCCCATAGCTCTTGAACAAGGTGACTCTGAAATGTTGATATTGTGTTTGTCATTTTTTACTAGCGCTACTTTGATATTTTAAACTTAGTAATAATCTATGTGTTAAATAAGTTAACTGTGCCTAAATAATAAACATCTTTATCTATAATTACAGCTCTTGGGACAGTATCAGTGAATATAAGAGTTCTGGATTTCTCACACAATAATATAACCTATATTGCGCCATATTACTTCAGGTAATCAAATATTTCTTCTATATTTCTAGTCTTTATTACAAAAGGCAAAAATCCTAATTCTAAGGATAAAAGATACGAGTATATGATACGTGCCAGAATATTTCTAGTGATCTAACTAGTATATCTAGAAAGTTTAGACACATTTCGTGATAATATGTTTTATTTTTCATAATGGTTGTCATCAATTTGTTTGCTATTACCAATATTATAAATAAAATTAAGTGCTTCGACTGAAATTCTATTTTCTATGTATTTACAGACATGCAGATTTAACTCTATCGGAACTTTATTTATCTCACAATTTACTAAGGAACATAACCAGGGAAGTGTTCGGTTCGATGGTGATGCTTCAGTATCTCGATCTATCACATAATTATATATATCATATGGAGTTCGATTGCTTCGCCAGAGTTAAAGCTTTACAGGTAAGGTTTTTAACTTACTTTTCAAATTTAAAGTTACCTCAATTCTTTAGAGTGTCAACTTCTGATTAAATTAACTTTTTTTGAAACCCCATAAAAGTAAAATCTTCAATAATATCAATTTAATACTTTCGTTGGACATAAATAAGAACTGGATACACTATCAATGATTGAAAAAAAAATGAAATAAATAAAGGAAATAAATAAAAAAACAAATGTTATACCAGCATTAAATTATTTACATTCTGAACATTTTAGTCAATATAGCCTTTGAATAGTCTTATTATAGTTATGAACAGTGTTTGTTATCCTGTTAAAGTCTTCTTTTATTAATAAAATTATTTTTATTCTAGATTCTAGACATCTCCCATAATTACATATCGGAGATGCCGGTAGAAATATTCCACGATATGCAGTCCTTGACATCACTCGATCTATCAAACAACCGACTAAGAAATCTTGTTGACAATTTAGTTATATCGTCACTTCTTGAAAGGTAATGTATATTTGTATTGGTAGTCCAATTCTACTTACTGTTGACTTTCATTTTTATAAATCCTGACTAACAATAATATATTAATCAGTTAAATTTATTATTGATTAATGCGGTAATATTATATATATATAAAAGTTTATTGTGTTTTAAATTTGTAAATAATTTGTATAATAATACAGTATAATTTTTCAATATTTTACTTATGAATGCTATAATAGTAATTATAGAATTATTCTTTATATAAAAATGAATATTAGCTTTTTTGAAATTTCTATCTTTACTTTTAGTTAAATAGATACAGTATTGTAATGTTACATTATCTAATACGTTTTGTTTACTACAGATTGGATCTATCTGATAATTATTTATCAAGAGTTCCAACGAATGCACTGTCACCTGCAGCAGCTGCTAATCTAGTCGAATTTGATCTGAGTGGAAATACTATACCAGCTATTGGATTGTCAGACTTAGTACAAAGATACAGGGTAAGATTTTCATTATCAACTTTAATATTGACAATAAAAATTAAGAGTTGTTTTATAGCTAACAATTTAATTTGAGCTATAAGTTTTGTGATGATGTAAATATTGATATTGTTTGTGAAATTGCATTACGTTTACCTGCAAATTTAAAACATACTTGCATCGAATTATTATAGCTAAGTTAAAACTGAATTTGTACTATTTTTAAAATATTTTTAAAACGTTTCATAATAAGTAGATATTGATATTTTTACCGGATTTTGTTCTTTATATTTAATTCATATTATATTTTTTAATCTAGTTATTGTAGATGTAAGTATGTTCTAACCTCATCTAAATATTTCCTAAAGTAACCTGTGTGATTGTTTTACTAACATTATAGCAACCCTTTAAAATTGTCCAATCAATACGTGCAATATCATTTCTATAAAATTACTCATTAAAATACAATGTATTTTCGTCACTTTGTCATGAACGTAAGTTTTTTACTTTATAATAAATAATAATTCACAATTAAGTCACCATATTTTTCAATCAAAAGATTTTCTTGCAATGAATCGGCTAGTCCTTGTTACTTTAGAAATAGGCATTGGTAATATGAATACCGATCCGATATTTTATATTGGATTCCTCTGTACATTGTAACAGAAAAATGGTCATCATCCATTTCGATATCACCCATATCGATCGAATATCTATTTTCGAATATGTTAAAGGTCTGTTATCCAATATTATTTATTGGATAACAGACTTTTAACAAATTCATTATTGGACCAGTACATAGAAAGATAGATAGATACTCTTTATTGTTTCCTCCAAAAGATTACAATAGTAAACTTTATATTGATATTATATATTATATTTATATAGATATTGTATCTAAAATATATAGATATTACTGTATATTACCAACCCCGACTAACAACTCCTAGTTTAAAAATTATTAAGTACGTATTGGTTGGACCGTGTGAGTAGAGCTAGACGCTAACGTGCCCGCATGTCACAGAGCCCTGACCAGGGCGAATACTGGCCCGAGGAACCAGACTACAGCGACGAGTACATGTATCACACCGCTAGGAGAGATCACACCAGAGTGTTCCACCAAAAAAAGCAATACCCGCAGAATATACTCTACAAGGTAGATAGTTGGATGCATGGTTTTCTTAATGTAGATAGACGTAGATAGTCTAACATGTAGTCGTGTATCAAGCACTATAAATCACAGATATGGATTTAAATAGATGTTGTAAATGCATTAATGTTATGTGTAGTATTTTTTTTTTATCAAAATAAACTTAACAAGAATACTTAAATTAAATTTTACTTCGTATCCAATATTCGATATAATAATATCGAATAACAAATTAGACTATTATTAAAAACAGTTTATAATATATTCACATAATAAGAAAGGGGTGTACCATCTTTAAACAGCTCTTGTAATTAAATTAATGAAATCAGTTTTGATTTTATATAGATTCAAATTTTTACATCATCTACCTTTATCTGTATCTGTAAAAACTTTTCCATCGATTCTGTTTTTAATTTAAGTTTATTTTTACTGCATTAGTTACAATTTTTTTTAAATGATAACATATTGAAACCATTTTATGATCTATCAAATATATATCACGTTAGACTTTTTTTTTACATAATACCTCTGTTGATATCAGTTATATAATTTTATGTATATTTCAAAAGCAGTTAATTTATAATATCCTTTATAATCTTAAGATACGTGTTACGTTATCATAAAATCTACTTACAGTCATTAGCGTGGTTAGATTTATCTAACAACCACTTGGTTCGCATCGAGACTGGTTCATTTGCGGCGTTACCAAAACTTCGATGGCTGGATTTGAGTAATAATACACCATTCAACGGCGGAGAACGTGGTAGCAGTGTCTTTAAGGGATTAGAAAGAAGACTCTTGCATTTAGGACTTAAGAACGTTAGCTTAATGTCTGTAAGTATCATTAACTTTTTTAATTTTATACTTAACTAAGTAACCACTTGTTATCTTTTTGTATTCTAATATTCATTGAAACTGTGTATATTTAAAAGAAATTTCGAAAAACAAAGAAACTTTGCTTTAAGTGTGTAAATTCAAAAGGGTAGTTTATTACTTATCACAAATTTAAAACCAATTACTGTAAATACAATATTTTCTTGAACCTTTTATGTAAAATATAAAATACGAAACAAATTGATATCCCACCTAATAAAAAGTGGCAACTATCGCTTATAAAAAGAAGTAACAGCATGAGCATTATGCTTTACTATTTCTGAGGACTAAATAAGGTGTTATACCTTCATACTCTCTAATTTCACTGCAATGTCACACCATTCAAACTGAAACAGCCATTTAAATATAACTACTTCATGACAAAAATACAAGTTGTATAGAAGTAGCCATGCAGATTACTTTTGTATAAATTCATCATATATTAAATGGCAATCCAAGAGAAGAAAACTGGAAATAAAACGGGGTCTTTATAAAACAAGATTACCAGATACCAGAAGAAGACTTTGTACAAAAGTCGATTACTTGGGTACCTCTGTCACATTCGTGTTTCAACCGTGAAGCAGTTGTGTCTGCATGGCTGTGTTTCAGTTTGAAGGGTGGGATATGGCGTGAATTTACTGGGTACGGAGGAATAACACCTGAGTCCTCAGGAATGGCAACGCATGGGGGGTATCATGGGCGAAACATTATACTCTGTTATGTCCATAGTACTGCTCATCTCTATAGGCGACGGTTACCACTTTCTATCAGGTGGGCCGTCAGCTTGTTTGCCATTTTAAGTTGTATAAAAAAAATATCTTTAAAGACTCATTAATATATAAAATTAATCTGTAGAATAGGCTAAAATAGTAAAATTAATTATTTATTTAATTTTTTTAATGTGCGAACCTTAATATTATTTACACATGTCTGCTTCAGGTGCCTTCGTTGCCTTTAACAAAGTTGAAGAGTCTCGATCTATCGTATAACAATCTGCCATCAATCCCACCGGATTCTACAGCTAATCTCACTCGTCTAAGAGTCTTGGATCTTTCATACAATGACCTCACTACTGTTCCAGTTGTAAGCTTTCTTTTTATTATTCATTTATATTTTATTATTATAAAAGTCATTGTAATAAAATGTAAATAATTTATTATTTTCCTATTTAGCTCAATTATATTTTAATCTAATTCTAGTAATCTTATTAGCAGTATGAAAAAAAGTATTTTAAATTATGAATAAAAACATTTATTTGTATCTCTAATAATGACTTGAATGTCAATAATTTGCATGATTATTTTACAGGCAACACATTCTCTTACGGATTTACGATGGCTATCATTATCTGGGAATCCTATAACAGCACTGATGAATACCAGCTTATATGGAATATCAACAAGACTCGAATACCTCGACGTTACGAAACTTCGTGTGAAAATTCTTGAGGTAAGTTTTTTCATCCCTTGTTTCATTCCTTATGCGGACTATGTTCAACAATATACAATTAACGGTAAAATTATGAATCTAAGATATGTTTTGTAATCTGCTCTTTCTGAATACAACCTGTTTATTGTATCAAATAACTAACGTGATATTCATGTATCAAGTAATTAAAATAATTTTAATACTTTTCCAGCATGGTGTCTTCAGTAAAATGTTGGGGTTAAGAACCCTAAAAATCACTGCATTCTCCACAGTTAGAGAATTCAATGTACCAAGAATGCTGAGTTACAATGCAGCTTTAGAAAATTTATTAATAGATATTGACTACGGAGGCGTGGAGTTTGGAAGGGAGTTGCAAGCCCAGTTGCCCTGCAAGCTAAATAATATTACTATAACTGGTCGTACACTTAAATATCTTTCTCCATATTTGTTACTTGTGAGTACATATTTATATTTTTAACTCAATTTTGCACTTTTATAATTAATTTCCATCTTTCTCTCTCTTATAGTGTTAGACTGTAGAAAAACTACTAGATTTACTATTACAAAATTGTGATAATGTCTTGAAATATCAAGATATATTTATTCAAAATATGTAATAGCTTTTTTTAAAACTCCGTAATTTTAACGCTGTTATGAAAGAATCTTTATCAACTTCATCAAATACAACTGTATAATCTTGTGTTGAACTTATGAGAACACTTTTTTAGTTTTGTTACTTATCTAAGATAATATGTGAAATGAGTATAAAGAAATAATATTAGATACTGATGAAAATTATAATTTGTAACTTAATATTAATATTGTCTGTGTTCCATTTCAGGGTGTTCATGCAAAGCATCTTAGGTTAACCGTTTACAACACCAGTATAGAAGATATAACCAGTGAAGTGTTCTTTAGTCCGGGTCGTGTAAGAAGACTGACTTTAGACGTCAGATCGAATTATTTGACGAAAATCGCTAATCCGAGCCAGAGGGCGTGGCCTGGAGCGAATGGTTTATTCTTAGAAGATATTCTTGTTGCTGGAAATCCCTTGGTTTGCGACTGTGGAATAGGGTAATGTGGATTTGTTACATTTAAGTTGTATGAATAATCACAATTACTTATATCAAGATTAATTAAGGCAAATAATTTAATAAATTTAAATCTATAATTTTACTTGCTTACTGCATTTAAAGAATTACAACAGTAAAAACAGAAAATAAATTAAAGAACATGTCTATAGTAAATTGATCATTTCCAGATATTAAAGACTTGCAAATTACTTTTAATATTGTCATATATACTATTTATTTTAAATTAAATAAATGCTTGTTTACTAAAGAAATTGTATATTATGTAATGTTATATGTATTTTTTTAAATATATGAAAACAAATCCAATTTATTTTTAAATCACAGATGGATTGAACCTTGGGACCGAAAGAGAAGACAATATATATGCAGTAGTCCATTCAACTGCGTCGCAACGCGAGACGATGTCAGATTTGCAACATGTCCTTATTATGATAACAGAACTCTAAATGAAGTAAGTTTAAATTTTAATTTACTAATCATTAGGAAAATAATTAAGGATGATTACAATATAATATGTTACATTTTTTCAGATTCTGATACGCGATCTAGATTGCAGTTGGAATCGAGGATTCTTAAGTTCACCAAATATATTAATAATTTTAGGAATGACCGTTTTAACGTGCCTATATATTTGAGGTTTATTTTGGCTACTTGGGGTATATGAAGAATTCCATCTAATTTTGGCAAGAATATACAATTTTTAGAGTCTTTATCAGATCGATTAAGACTAAATTCTTTCCATAAAGGATTGCGAAAGAAAGACTTATTGAAATAAAAATTAGGAATGCTGTTCTATTAGATGGCAAATGTATAAATATTTGTACATATACGAGAAGTTACAAGTAAAATAAAGTCTTATATGACCAACTGACGAAGAAAAATCGAGTGAGACACTAAATTATTTATCCAAGAGTATGGTACCTGCGTATGTGGCTTAAAACTGCATAGTAGATAGTCTTGGGGCATTCCTAAACAGCCAAATCCTAATTAAGTGGTAGAATTTTGGACAATGATCCCCAAGGCCAGGTGTGTGTTTAAATGGAGCTTTCATTATGAACTATTAAAAGTGACTTTTATATTAAGAGATTGCATACAAGTTTAGTGAAGCCTATTAAAATGTGATTTATCGTTTTAACTGAAAAGCAGAATGGTGATCTCAAGGGATTGAATCAGGAGTTGTTAACGTTTATATTATTCTTTATCTTCCTATGCACATTGTGTTCCCACAAATATCAATTTGCATATTTTAGATTAATAATTGATTTCCGCGTTTCACGCATTTCGTGCACTGCCTTACAAAACGTTTTTTGTTAATATTGAATACAATTAATGTTATGTCCAGCTGTTTATGATGTGTTCTGAAATCGAAAATTAGTCGAGGGTTAATAGTAATAACTATGTGTGGAAGTGCACTTAATGTGTTTTAGAAATTGCATTTACGTCGATTTATAAGATAAGTTCACACGAAAGCAATGACTTAATTACGATCGTCTAAGTAGACTGCATTCGCTCGAATGATATGTGTTCGTCCATTATTAATATTAATGATATTATTTATAGATGTATTCATTTGTGTAATAGAAGACTTTAGCTGTAGATTAATAAGATCGTCTCTAACATTTTCTGTGTAATGATCATCATTAGTTTTTTCATCGTCCATATTCTTTTAAACAGATTGAATCATTATAAACGTATATATTACAGCGACATCATTATATCTACGTAAATTACTCAATAGTTTGAATTTATATACTCCTTTGTACAATACAGATTTTCTGATACGATTCATTGTTCATATTTATCATATTCAGAGTAACTATCTTTAATAAAAACGCTTAATCCTATACTATATTAGACTCTAATATTTTCATTGTTTAGCTGTTTACAAATTCTATCTGGTTACCTTGTTGGATAAACATATTTTATTACATATGTCTATAAATGTGTCAGTAGCTATTACTATGTCTACGGAGCATGCTGTAAAATATACATATGTCGACGTACGTATATTTAATAGGATTTTATCGACTGAATTTAAGTGTTTCAAGCTATATCGCTGGTAATATTGTTAAGAATAATGTTCGTATCGTATGATGTCCAATGTGGCTTATTTTATTATGTACTTTTTTTACATATTTTGCTTGATATATGTTTTATTTATGTATTTTTTTATTTTGTTTAGCGTGTTAATTTTTAGTACTGTAGACTCTTTGATTATGCAGTTTATTAACATATGTTAGTATTAAACTCGATACATTTGCAATGATTGAATTAAATAAATACCTCTTCTTCAGTGGTCCAGATTGATGTGGTTTCAGGCCTAATTGTTAATTTTTGTTTTCAATGCCATTTAAAAAGCTATTATTTGTTATTTACTTTTATATATTTATTTCGTTAGATATATCAAAAAAGTTTGCATTTTATAATTCTAATTTGATTTACCTATATTATTATTATTGATTTTAAATAGTGATTTTATTTCAATTACTCGTACTTATTGTTTATTCGATTTTCAACTATTATGCTTATCTTTACTGGGTTTTAACTTTTACGTGCTATCTTTAAGAATGGTGTTGAAAACAAATTTATATTGTTGCAACAATGAATATATTTTGTGATATATATTACTCTAAACCTTCTATTTTTATATAAAGCCTACAAATAAATATAGCAGATCAGAACGGGAATTGTGTAAGTAGCGAAAGCAAGTATCACTAACAATTATTGCTTCTTTACATTGTTAAATAAATATTAGAAATTGTCGTGAAGTAAAATGAAAATTGTTTAGATGTGGTATTTTCATGTTATCGACGACTATTTCCAAATTATAAATATTATAATAAATAATGGTATTAAATATGAATCGTTACTTTAGCAACTTGATAGATCAAATAGAGTAAATTTAAAATCAACTGCAGATGATTCAAATCATCGGTATCCGCATACCGTAAATACACTCAAAATTGATAAAAGTTATCAAACTTTATAACAAAACAATTCAAAAATATGCATTATTGTGAAAAAAAAATATAAACTAAAAATAAGTGACAATCAGTGCTTCTTAAATTGGATTTAGGTTAAGTACTCGTATCTTCTGCTTTATCTGGTTTTACCATAATACACCAATTTCTACGTAGTATCTACGTAGTAGTATTTTTTTCTCCAAGTATATAATACAAGTAAGCTAAACTTTTTTACCTAAGTTCTATTGTTAATCTGGTTTGCCAGAAAAAATATGAAAATCCATTTAATTTTTATGTGTATGTACCACGTCAAATCAGAAGTAAAAATCTTCGATCATGAATACCAATTTGATAATACATCATACAATTACTAACTAAAACAGAATGCAAAGATAGTCTTCTCAGACCATAGTATTGAAAAAAATAACCTAATATTGTAACACGCAGTTTTATTTACAATAACGATGCTTTATTAAGTAAGCAGTTTGTTTAAGTCGTGAAATAGAACAAAGTAATTCAAACTAAGACCCCACTTTGCAGATGAGACGATATTCCCTCTGTGACGCTTTGATCGGACTTCGCATAGTATTTATGATCGAAGTTGTTAAAAATATCGCTTTTATATCACAATGTCAATTGTCAAAATAAAATGTTGACTCAAAAGAAACAATGGAAATAAAAATTAGAAATAGTTACCTGTGTAATAATTTTCTCTAGAATTTTATTATAAATTAGACCTGATTAGAGCTTACTATTTTCCATAGTCACTAATTGTACTTGTATATTTTTATTAAGGAACAAATCAAGAGAAGAATTTGAAATGCAGTAGCAATCTTAACATTCCTGCGTCGCTTATTCATTATAATATTCTTGGCCTATATTTTATCGATTCTCTGCAAGGTCCCAATGTGATAGACATAGCTAGTGCCAATAAATTTATAATAGAATAGTACACAAACAATATGAATGATTCTTAGGTAAGAATAAATATCTAATTATATCCAGAAGCGTTAAGGACGTTTGAAGGGTTGGCTTAACGATAAATAATGGACAGGGTGTGTTTAATGAATTATGGTTATGGAATATGTCCTCTATTATCCATATATTATTATTGAAGTAACAAAGAAACATTTATTAATTCAACTATGTTTTATTTTTAAAATTAACTTTTTAAAAGACGTGAATATATGTATTATGGTAATAAAATCCCTAAACAACATTCGCATTAATTTATTTTCATTTATTGCATACCTAGAGATCATTTTATTTTATTTTTAAGACAATTTTTTTATTTTGTAAATTTTCTAAACATATTTCTTACTTATTTAAAATCATTGTCAATGACGTGAAAGTTATATACGATATTTTTCACTTGCCAGTATATAATTAGATATTTGATTCTTATTAATTTAATCTTTTAATATTATTACACTGTACATATATACTGTATAGATTTTAAATATCAATTCAATTGAAAAACTAAATAATAATTATGTTATGACTATGCAGACTTCTTAACTTTATTTATGAGAGGTTGGACAATGGAATGTTTTGTCTTCACTACTTAATATATAATTAAAATAGTGTGAAAAAAAAATTAATAGGTAATCATTGAATTATTAGATTATCAATAAATTATTGCAAATATCAATGTATTTGTTTGTTACATCCCTTCTCTAACTAAAGTACTATAGGAAATAGCAAATAAAGTGATCATTGTAATGGAAAATTGCAACTACCGCCTATATATAATTATAAAAAATACAATTAATATTATAAAATCTATTGTGTCATCCATAGCACTTCTCCTCTAGAAATTGGTTAGACAATTTCTTGAAGGAATTTTTGATGACTAGCATTCTCATTTCTAGCAATGTACCCTATCAAATTGACTTCCACGAGCCCCCCTGGAAACCATTGCAGTTGATTCTTGATGAATAACAGACCTAATTTCATTGTTACTTATTACCCCTTACTGCCTCTGGTAAGTGATAAGCATTAGGGGGAAGCGATTTTTAGTAATGCAGTCTAACAGTACCATTACCTATCAGGTGGACCTCCACGCACCACCCCTACGTTTTGCCCTGGAAACCATCGTGATTATTTTTTATCTGAAAAAAATAATCTGCTTACCTTATCATCTCTTACTGGTGCCCCGCCAGAGCACACCGATAGCGCAGACGGAGTTACCATTGCATTCTCACTGATTAAAAATTTTAATTGTAGACACTTAACAATTCATTTTCATAAATAAAAAAAAAAACATTAGCTAACTAACAGTGTTTCTGTCATCCTGTGATCGTACCAAAAACCGTATGTCCTTAATATTTTTTTTTCTCGTCCTGAATGTGCAATCCCTACTTCTTTCCTATAATATTATTAATGTAAAAGTGAGTTTGATTGTTTTTTTTTTTTATTATTATTTCTGCCGTTCCACTGCTGGACATAAGCCATCCCCATAAGAGAAGTTTTACCAGAAATTGGCACGCTTGTTAGACGGGTTGGCATCCGCAATTAGTCTTTTAGAGATGTGTTAAGAGGAACGCGGCTGCCTATCTCTCACTCCTTGTTTATTTTATTACCTCTTAATTCTTTAATAATTTAACCAATTGTAATGAAACTTTAGACTAGGATTTTATCCTGATCAGTGAATCTATCCCGGTTACGTGGACGAAGTAGCCAGTAAAAAGTTTGTATAAAAATGAAAGCGCAAAATTAGAAAAGCTATCAAGCAGCTATTTCATCTCTGACCCCATTGAGACAATTTCATTTGTCGCTATAATGATCTCGTTGTCACCAGTAATTGAATGAGATGCCCGCTGCGCGCCGAATTGGATGGGACCATGATACCACACAACATCGTAATATTCTCGCCTCGTTATTACAAACTGTAGTTGTAAGTCATTCTGTTTGTGACGTAAGCTAATAAGAATGATACAGGTTTTTTTTTTGTGTGATAGGTTTACGGCTTTGGCTAAAGTCTTTAACCGTTAGCCCATCTTTAATTTCTTTAATTACTTTCATTCCATCGAATATTTTTCTTGAAAAATCTGTATAATTGAATTTATCTTGACGTAATTATAGTGTTTGAATAGTGTGGGTGGGTAGAGGATAAATTCATAGATAATTGGGTATGTATCAGTGTTTTAAAGAATATATGGCAGGAGGCGGGATATCTCTTTAATTTTATATAAACTTATTAAGCCATCTATTAATAATACAGATGACGAGAGTAGTCTTGTTATTGTATGCAACTTAGAATGGCAAGCAAGCTGATGGCCCACCTGATAGAAAGTGGTAACAATCGTCTATAGATTTGAACAGTAACCATGGGCATAATACATAGAGTATACTGTGACGCGTATTACATCTTTAATGTTGTTATTCCTGTGTTATAAATAGTGTGGTCGCTTTTGAAATCTTATTCTCCAAACCTCCTTATTATGTATTGTTCAGATTATTCTCAGATCCTCTCCCATCTTCTTTGTCATTAGATATTTGAAACTTTGCAATATCTTAATTAGAAATATTATTCCTTACAATTTTTTTATTATTACAGTTTTGCAAATTGATTCAAACTCTGACTTTTATTACAGAAAATTTTATCAATTAAAAAAGAGAGTTCTTTTACCCTGACAAATAAGGTTGGAGTCAAAATTCCAAAAAATTTAAACAAATTTAGAATGTAATCTACAATAAGTTTTGCAGTATCTTTATATTGTGTTTATTATCTATCTTAAATTTATTTTCATGTAATTACAAAATTTATTTATTTATTTAGGTTCACCAACATTGTTCCCACGAGATAGTGAAAGTATTTATACAATAATGGAGCTTAGAACTAAGTGTAATATTTTTTATAGGAAAACACTGCATATACTGATAGTAACAATTAGTACGAAGAAAAACAAATATATACAGCTTATAAAATCAAATATAATAGCAATTCATTGTATACGTAACACACATGTACGAGATTATGGGCACAGATAAATAAAAATATATTTTCAATATTAAAAAATAACAAGCGCCTATAGATCTTACGCAAAATGTTCTGTACATATAATATGAGTAGGTAAATCGCACATTATTGCTCTGATCCCATCCCTTATCTGAGTCCTTTCTATACCAATCGTACCAAAACATTGCCAATGTTCAGAATGGGCGCTTTAATTAATTCTCAAGGCGGGTTCAGACCGAACCTGCTTTTGTTTGTAACCGACCCTAATACATTAATAAGAACAATACCTTAAACAAAAATATTATTGCCAAGATTCTATCGGCAAGAGAGGAGAGATAGCTGAGAGGCTTCTAGAAATAATAATATAATAACAAACAAAAGTACATAGTGATACAATAGCCAACTATGTGTATCACTATGTACTTGTCTTTAAAATGCTTCATTTTACCTTTCTCTATTTTTATTTTAGACACGTTTGGGTTCGACCACTGACGAAGTCCCCTTCAATACCCTTTATCTTATCTATCAACAGAATTCTCTAGTAGATAACAGACCATTTGGCTAAAATAACATCTACTATAGGATTTCCTGATGACCTGTAGCAGCGTCCCTTTTAAAACATCTCTAAAAGCCCAACTGCGGTTGCCAACTTGCCTGCCAAGCGTGGCAACTACTGGTAAAACTCCCCTTATGAGGAAGGCTTATGTCCAGTAGTGGGCAGTTAACGGCTAAAATAATACTGTAATAATAGGATTTCCTATTTCTTTTCCCCTCGTTGGATTAGACAATGGTAATTATTGATCTTTGAAAATAGTTACAATTACTTATTTATATAAGGATATTTCAAACTCTTACGTACGGTATATATTTTAATCTTCTCTTAAAATTTTCAATCAAGAAGAACAGATATGAAAATCGACCGTTGCTTTTTTTTAAATCATCACTTTATCTAAAACTACTTTTATATTCTATTTTAAAAATTAAGAATCCTAATAACATATATAATCATATATAAATGGCTAAATGAACGAATTGAAAAGATATTTGGCATTTCTACTATATCCTGGTTAAACATCCTCACTAATATTAAAATCATGAAATAAAATGTTTTGGTACCTCTTAGCACTTAACGACTCGGCCAACGGTCACGAAATTGGCATGCATATAAAACTTAAGACGACGAAGTTAATAGAGGAAGAAAAATAATCTATACATATAATATAATCGTAATTGGTCGATGTCTGTACATGGACGATATATAAAAAACACTACTATATTGGCTTTATGAACGCAATAGAACGCAAAACAGTGATTCTTAGAATTTTCATCTATTTGTCTGTACGTTTGTGCATGCTAATTTCAGAAACGGCTTAACTGATTTGAATGCGGTTTTCACTTATATGTTGCGGTTTGTTCCACTTAACATTTAGTGTTATATTATTTTATTTCAATCGGTTCAAAAATGAAAAAGTTATATTAATCTAAAGAATCACATATAAAATGCTTTTAAATAACAGATCAGTTGAATTGGCTGAAACTTTATGAAGGTATTAGATACGTAGTTATCATTTAAGTATATTATACAATATAAGACCGGATTCATGGGACCGGATATATACGGAAACTACAAAGAAGCGGGCAACGCCGCGAAAAAGGGCTAGTTGATAATAAATTTGAAAAACAAACAAAAATAGATCCCAGTCTTGAGTTAAGTCTAGTATTTTTTTTCATACATAAGTTCAGCCATGACACTTTAGTTAAAGAACCATTTACATATTTATATAACTCGAATAACGATAAAGCCTAAAGGGGCTGACCTTAAGTGCTTGAACCGTATACATTTTTGCGACGAGATGACATCATTTTGTTGTGTCCGCAGACCGCAGTGAGACCTAATGCTATTTCCTTGTCATATCCGCTAAACTTTATGGTGTTTACGTAGTAATCCAAAAATTTCAGTGGCCGAAAAATGCCAAACATATTGAAAGACATTTGTTTATTAAAAAATAAAGCCAGTCAGGTGCGAATTGTAGTCACGCGCCGAGGGTTATGTACATAAATTTTTTTTTATTATTATTTTAACCGTTAACTGTCCACTGCTGGACATAAGCCCTCCCCATAAGGGGAGTTTTGCCAGTAGTTGCCGCACTTGGCATGCGGGTTGGCAATCGCAGTTAAGCTTTTAGAGATGTTTTAAGAGGGACGATTTTTTTGATGAGATGGTTTTTTCTCATATTTTCTATCATAAGTCAAAAATTATACAATACAAAAATAAAGAATAATTAGTTTTAAAATATACAAATAATGTCCTTTCTATATTTTCTATTTAGACTAGGAGGTCAATTTTGAAATTCTGAGTATCCCTTTTGGACTCCGTAGTAAAGAAAATATACCTATATTATTTCAAATTCAAATTCAGTCAAACTGAATTTAAATAAATTCATAAGAGTCGCAAAATCCATTCATGTTCGCAAAAACTTCGATAGGTTTTTAGTGAAAATTTAAAAGACGTAACTAGACATTTAATATTTAGTAATTATATAATAATTGAATAAATGTATCGGGATGTATTTACAAGTACTACTTTATAGGTATGTAGCATTATATGCAATACAAGTCTAATAGAAAAATATCTATCCATCACTATACATTTCCAATATAGACGGGCCCCTGATAACTACAGAGTCTTTATAAAATTTCTATACAAAATTCAATGTCACTGCGATTAATGGCGGATCTCACTACACTGGACAGTTTATTTCGTGTTCATATTATTAGATCCCACAGAATCGTATTTGGATTTATTGGTTTTAATAACAATACTCTATCTGATATCCCACTGATCCTACTAAAATTATTAATATAATAGATTGTGAAGATATTTGGGAATATTTTAGGATTTGTAATTACGTTCTTCTGTTTCATTTTTTGGTTATTTTATATTTATATATAACTTTTTACTATGCCATGCCCTGCCATGCCGTTAACTGTCCATTGCTGAACCTAGGCCTCCCCGATAAGAAGGGGGTTTTGCCCGTAGTTGCCACGCTTGGCAGGCGGGTTGACAAACGCAATTAGACCTTGGTGATATTTTAAGAGGGTGCATATTCGTCTAACATTAATTTGCCTTAGTCGTCCTAAGGGATGAACACCTAAATGAAAGGAACACAGACGGCATAGAATGCACAGCATTTTTACTATAATTGTATATTATTTCCTGTATGGAAACTAGGATGAAGATATACTTACACTTTGTAAAGTGTAACAGAAAGAAACAATTGCCTTTTAAAGCTGCGTAAAAAAATAAGCAATAATACAACTTCACTAAGCATTACTTGAAAGGAGAAATTCTAAAACGAGCAAAGATATAGATAACAAAAATCCGTTACATATGACGGAATATCGAAAAATTTATCGTTCATAGTCAAACAAGCATTCATGTGTGTTCACGTGGATACAGAAAAATTCCATTCTACCTTTTCAAACATTTTTTAATAATCAACGTAAACCGGACGGATACAGTATTGCGCGAAAAAATGAAAGGTTCAAAAATTGTTCCCATATTTCTATCAATGTTTCATAAAGAAATGAACTAAAAAAAATATTTTCTGAATATTTTCACTGAATATCGGATCACTATACCTTTTATATTATACCGTACATAAATAGGAATTGAACGATATATTTACTTTAAATAATCCAAAGTTACATAAAAATACTAAGATTATTTTTTGTATCATATCAACGTTAAGGACAAGTAAAAAATTTAAAAAAAATACATAATTGTAACATCTGATATAATCGCTGCATTATTATATAATTATTATTAAAAACACTGCATTATATACTAAAATTATTCTTCTACTGAATTTCTGTCCTAATATCAGGAGCCACATACAATATAAAATCAACGGACGAGGGTCCTTTGTCATACCAAAGCTTGCACTCAATTGCTAACGAAATACCAACTGTAAAATTAGATATTTGCACAGCAACTAGAGGAGACTTGCTTTGCATATCTAAAGGGAATATATCTGGGTCAAATCCCGGGGGATCTGGGTAATATTTTATATGTCCAACATGCTCTTTATCGTACGAATGAAATCCGGTGCAGTGAAGCCATAACATCTTTTTATCTGACCTCAGCCATTTCTTCACTTCGGTTGGAGCGTTATTAGCTCGGGCCGAGTTAGGTTCTAAAGGATTTCCTTTCCATTTTAATTGTTTATTTATTTTTATAATAATGCACGGTTGATCACCGAAACCATATGGAGGATATGCACAAGGGCCCAAATCAGTATTATTGAGTTCCCTTTTCCTTCGATTCTTTTGTAGCAATCTATCGAGAGCGCTGGTATACTTCTGATAGTCCTCTGACTTTCCACTTCTGTACCAAATTAAAGGGACACCGTTTACTGAGGCAGGAGTGGCTGATAATCCTATACCATTTTCCCCGTAAGTCAGTAGCTCTGCTTTATCGACTGTTTGATAATTAGAAGTGTATTTGAGAGCTGTTAAACTTCCAAAAAGAAATATCAACGTATACGTACTCAAGAACAAAATGTACATGATGGAATAACACACTATTGCCAGCCAACTTTTACAGGTTCGTCCACAAAATGTTTTATTCTCTCTATTGTAAAGATATTTTAAACACTTTCTTCTCTTTGGTTTTGCTGGAGTAACCTCCGTTGGCAGATGAACAGGTTCTTTGGAAGTTGTAGCCACTTGGATTGCTGGTATATCTCTGCCACCTACTTTTAGGGGCGACAAGCTTTTTTTCATGTCCGAACGTTTCTTTCCTTTCGACTTCGGAACCATATTTTGATTTTCTATTTGATATTCTTAAAAATAAATGAAATCTAACTCTAGATATCACAATGACAATAAAATTGACAATATTTTTTTTAATCACTGTGGCTAAGACTTTATAATTAGTATTATAATTTCATAGATAATTTTTATATTACATCTCCCATATCTAGACCTACAAAATTTTTTATCGTGCCTCCTACCAAATTGTTTATAATTACTCCTCTCCATCCAAAGGTTGCCTGGAAGAGATCGCTCTTAGCGATAAGGTCGCCCATTGTTTTCTCATTGTGATTATTTCTTGTAATTATTTATATTTATAATAAGTTTACTATTGTAATCTTTTGGAGGAAACAATAAAGAGTATCTATCTATCTATCTATCTATAATTTCATAGATATCAAATACATAGATTATGAATAACTTGCGGTCTGGATTCTACGCATCAACGTCACAAATAATTATGATACCTAATAGTTATTTGTTTTATTTTCGTGGATTAAAATAGTTTCTTTCACTTCTTTCTACAGCTTTTTCTAATTCAATTAGACAATCTTTTATTTCTTGATTTATTTTATTCCTTTCAACTATTCAACTTGTATTTTTATCGTAAATTGAAAATTTATAGGTCATGAAATAAAAGAGTTGCCACATCAAAGGTTGACCTATCGCTGTAACCTGTAATTTACTAGAAATAATGTTCTTTTTCGGGCTTTGATGGCTATTGCTTCGGTCGACACAACGTATAAACGTAGGCATTTATGCGTAGAGACTACAGCTATATTCTGACGTATTATTTGATAATAAATCTTTATTATACATATTATCTCATATATTGAGAGAAATTTTAGTTTGAATTTATGTCTAAATATATTAACCACTCACAAGTATTTAAATACATATATAATGTTTGCCAATAATTTGAGAAAAGGTATTTTGTAATAAATATGGTGTTACTTACGAGTATGTTTGTATTAAAGGAGACAGTAGGCTCGCTCCATGACAAATTGGATTCTAATATGCTCAGCGAAATGTGGGCATATCCAGTTTTGTGTTCACCACAACGGCAACAGTCGAAATTTGAATTTGCTTCTAACTGTCTGTTCGAGGATTACGGTCATGGGCATTTTTTTTTATTTATATGTTCAACAATATTTTCTAAAAAATTTACAATCCTGCCGGTCGTAGCAACTACTGGCAAAATTCCCCTAATAGAGAAGGCTTACGTCCAGCAGTGGACAGTTAACGGTTGAAATATTATTATATTATCAGCAGTATTTCCGAACTGATACGACAACATAACCTTCAAGGGTATATTCCTTTTTAAAAGGCCGGCAGCACACCTGCAATGCCGCTGGTGTTGTGGGTGATCATGGGCGGCGGTAGTCACTTACCATCAGGTGAGCCGCATGCTCGTATGCCCCCTGTGTTGTAAAAAAAAAATATTAATAATGTCTGCGAGAATATCCCAGAGAAACATGGAATGATGATTTATAAATAGATAGCAACTCGAACCAAATAATTTCTTTATATGGTTCCTATAAGCTAGCGACGTGCTTAGAGGAAAAATTGTATTACCTATTCCACAGATAATATAATACTATACTACATATTCACATGAAAAAATTAATAGCTGACACTCGATCTCCTCTGTCTACAATTCCATGGGACCTATTATGATAGTCAAGAAAATAAATGTTCTAAATATTTTTTCAAATAAATAATGAATTTATGTACATACATAAATTCGTTATACATATACTAGGTTAGTACACTTATTCATATTATACTTGAACAAGGAGGGACCGTGTTCGAATATGGGTGTTCAAATACGTATGTAAACCTAAGTAGTACTCAAATAGGGCTTAGTTCAATATAGCTCCTCGCCTTATTGCATGAGTCCAACTGTCGACCATAAAATGAGTTGATGAATAGCTATTTTCTAGTGATGCAAGCTATACGATTTCGATTCCCTAGACTAGGGAGATTTTTTTAATACGAATTTATAACTCTACCCGATACGGTCTCGAATTCGATCCTTGGATATGCCAATTTAATTGACTCGGTTCTCGAAGTTCTATAATGTGCCTTCAAATATTCGCTGCCTGGTGTATTATATAACATAAGGTATCGTATAGTAGATATAGAGGTATAATAGGTATCCAGACAATTGGCACTTACATATAATCTATTTTTGCTAAAAAAATCTATCTGTTTTTCAGCAGTAGAGAGTTAACGGCTAATACAACAAACCAATAAAGCACCAAATAAATTTTTTTTTCCATATAACTTGCCAAGTTGAATAACCTGCGAGAGTAATAGCAACGGGATTGCATATTTTCATCGATGGGTTATATAAATAGTTATTTACTTTGTTCTAGAATACTAACTAAGCCTTCTAAGTTTCTAGCGTACTAAGTATTATTAAAGCTCACCTAATAACTCCCTTAACTTTGCTACAATCCGTTCTTATTTGCTAATATGGATTTAAATTAATTAAAAACTGATTAAGTTAAGCTTCGATTTAATTGACGTTTCATTTCATATAATCCGCTTGTTTTAATCCGCAGTCATAGGATTATATAGATACAGTCTATGGGCAGGGATTAAATTTTAACCGATTTAAAAAAATAGAAGTCCTTTTGAGTTATATTATATTTTTGTTTATTTTACGATGTATTCGCTGATATTGTTAAGCAATTATTTATAATTTTTCTTCGACCGAAAGGATTTGGGTATTCCTGTTCTATCCCTAAACTGGTGTAAAAATTTAATTTACATGTTACATATATTGATATTATTATAAAAAATACTTGTCTACAATTTCTGACAAATTCCTTACAGATTTTGGCTATCAGTGTATTAAATTTTCAAAATCTATGCAATAATTTGGATAACAAATTTAATTCTTCTCTTTCAAGTACCACAAAATGTCAACAATCAGGAATAACAATATTCTATATATAATCTTTTATTATAAATAAAACTTAAACAAAATTTCTATAGATACTTTATTCACTTTAAACAAAATAAAAACAAAGCAAATTTTTCACAATAAAAATAGTTCAGTCTATACAAAGATTTTATCTACTATGTGAAAGTGCACTGACCTCTGTAAATCGTCCATTTGCAATCTGAGAGAAATCGAGAAATAGAAGGCGCCACTTAAACTACTAGAGAAGATAGGGACATGAAGTTATTGGCTACTGAAAGTAGTGTTGCCACTTGAAAGTATTATTAAAACTACTAGTTAGTTCTTGCGACATCGTTTGCATACAGTGCGTTTATATTTTTATGGGAATAATTTAATGATAATCCCATGTTTGTGATTATTGATTATACATTTTTTAAGGGTGATGATATAATGGTAATATTGCCTGCGATTATAGATGAGGAATACACTAGGAATTAACCATGATATTTTCCGGGCGGAAATTGACCGGATAAAGTATTTTACTAGCAATGAGACTGTTAGACTTCGACAGTAATAATCCCTTCCCCTCCCCCCTATCGATATACACTAGCGGGCTATTAATGAATAATAACAGATTACTTGATCCTGATCCATCATAACAAAACTCTTCAGGAAATAAATCACTATGGTTTCCAGAGAAAGCCGCCTGAAGGATGTTCTGACGGGGTTATATATATATATATATATATATATATATATATATATATATATATATATATATATATATATATATATATATATTATATATGTATGCCCTAAGACTATATATATATATATATGTGTCCTCAGAAATGGCAACGCAATATCTTGGGTGAAACAGTATACTCTGTTATGTTCATGGTACTGCTCATATCTATAGGCGACGGTTAGCACTTTCCATCAGGTGGGCCGTCAGCTTGTTTTCCATTCTAAGTTGAATAAAAAAGTATTATTAAAAAATATAAATTATAAACTTAGGGACTTTTACTTTTTACTTTAGAGCGGTATGTTTATTATAAATATACCTATACTATATATCCTTCTTTTCCTTCAATCCTGAATGTAATTATATAGATACTTATACATCTTTTCTATGCAAATAATCATCCAAAGTGTCTTACAATTTCACCATGATTACATATTTACAAATATCAAAACATTACACATATTGTCACAATACTACAAGGCACGTTTCCAACGCGTATGTTTGTGGCGGAGTTTCCAACTTATTTAATTAATGCTTCGAAACTTAATACCGCGTAATAATAACGAATAGGTGGAATGCTTATACCTCGTTTCGTAGCTACCTATACTACTATTTACATAGTTACCGTCAATCTAATCTTAATATAAGTAAAGATCTTATTCAGATATACATATAATATCTACTACAAATAATTTGGTATGTTTTTTTATTAATTTGCATATGACATCTCTCTGGCTCTTTATTTTTGCTCTTACTCCTTAAAAAGTATGCAATCTACTCTAGACAGCAAAATAAAATTAAAATAATAAAAAGAGCTTGAAAATGGTCCTCCAAGCCGGATATTTGTGTGACGCGTTTTTTTTTTTTAATTCTAATTATTTAAATTTCAATTTCTTCTCAACGTTGTCTATGCAACTTGAAGTACTAAATAAGTTAACAGCTCACTTGTTAGAAAATGGTAATCGTCGTCTGAACAGCAATGAACAACAAAGTACAGCTGATTGCTAGCAAGACCACGAGTGGAATAAAGATGCCCATGTAAACAATATATATACAAAGTAATATTAATAAACTGACAGTGTATTTGTTACTTGTTAACGGCTTAACAAATCGTTATGAAACTTTGCGTTTGATACGGAAAAGGCTTTATTATTTATTCCGATCAATCAACATATCCTGGTCATGTGGACGAAGTCACGAATAAAAATATGCATAAATATTAATGGCCTTAAAACTTATTTTTATTTTAATGAGTTGAATCTAAATGAAGGTTCTAAGTCGATAGGCGACACAAAGTCGGTACCAAAATCGTGGTGTTATTATGTTGTCACTCGTAAATCAAGAGGGCATTATAACCGCCAATTGACCTAAGTCCACTTTTTACGTTATAATTACTGAGTACTACAAATGAGGAATTAATATATTTAATATGGATCTTAATATTATGTAACTATTGCTTATTTTCATAATTTTGTATTGTATTTTTTCAGACAGTTTTGTTTTTTTTTATTTATAATATTATAAGCTCTGTGGTTGGTGATGTTTTATGAGGGACGCTAATGACCATCTCTCGACTATTAAGTTCCCCTAGTCGCCTAAGAAAAAGAAAGGGGTGGCCCATTTTATGCTAGGACCACACTGTAACTAATAACTATTCTCCTTATATAATACGACTACGATCACTCTAGCTAGGCGGCTTAGTATATCAATCATAAGGGAGCTTGAAAACTATATTTCGAATTTCCCTATGATTGATGACACTATTAAATAAATAATTAACAATATGCTAGGCTTACGTACGTACTTATGGTAGATTATATATATGTAAGTGAGCTTGTATGTTACCTTATGTAATGGTTATACCAAAATTCATAGTGCTTAAACCAATCACTATAAAATTTGGTACACACATAGGCTACTTTTTATATCGATCAGTAAACATATTCTGGTGATCTACCATGAAATGAAATTCCGAATTTTCGGGCTCAATTTCGTGTTTTTGTTCGTACCGAAACTGAGCCAGTAAATGGAGCTTAACATTTCGTTCATCATAAATCCTATCCTAATAGTCCAAAGGAACAATATTTTAACATTTTTATTCATTTTAAACGGCATGTATTATGTAATTTAAACATCAAATTTCTGTTTCGTTCGTCTCCGAAATTTCGGAAATCATTTCATGGTAGGCCTACTGGTTACGTGGACAAAGTTGTGAGTAAAAGCTACTTGTTTAAATTTTATTTTGTTCTCTTCCACGATGAATCTGTATTATTATTATTCATAACTATATCCACCAATGATATCAGTTTATTATCATAATAAAGGTCAACTAACCTTCTAATAAGGTTTATAAGCTTTATCTGAGTATGCCATTATTTTAAATATGTTTGTTTATTTAGTACAATAAAAGCAACCAACACTACAAAATATAAAAGGTAATCCTTACTAATATTATCAACGTGAAAGTTTGTTTGTTACCTTATAGCGGAGCTAGATAAAATATTTGCTTCGGTTTAATTAAAATACGAATTTACAAAATACTATTTCATGTGTATTTAAAATACAAAATACTTTTAAGTCATGTATTTGAAACATATGCATTTCAAAATACAATCAGGCATTTGATAGTGGGAATAAAATAGAACTAATCGAGCCCAGTCTATTAATCAGTAAAGGTAAAATTTCATTTTATGAATATGAGATTTTTAAATATATTCTTACACTAGAGAAATTTATTCATTTCTCTAGTCTAAGAATACATTACCTTATTAAAGAAAACAATCTCTCTAAAGGTCCTGATGAGCACAAACTTGTGTTAAATTGTACAAACGAAAGCTATTGAGCGCTATTTTCTGCGGAAAGCGACCATTAATAAGATCGCTAAATGAAGGCTAAATGTATTTATGTTAAAATGTATTCTGAAGCCAAAAGTACTTGAAGTACAAATTACAAAATACATCAGCGTCAGGTATTTGAAGTACGAATTAATAATTACATTTTTAGCAACTAATTGAAATACCTAATATGTATTCTGAAGCCATAAGTATTTGAAATACTAATTACAAAATACATCGGCGTCAGGTATTTGAAATAGAAATTAATAATTACATTTTTAGCAAGTAATTGAAATACTTAATATGTATTCTGAAACCATAAGTATTTGAAGTACGAATTACAAAATACATCAACATTTTCAGCAAGTAATCGAAACACCTAATATGTATTCTGAAGTAATAAGTATTTGAAATACTAATTACAAAATACATCGGCGTCAGGTATTTGTAATAGGAATTAATAATTACATTTTTAGCGTGCAATTGAAATACCTAATATGTATTTGTATTTCAAATACGTATTTTAATTACAAGTAATTCAAATAACAGCGCTGTCTGGCGCCTTGACGACAACTAATCACTGTGAAATTTGATATACACGTACTATATAGAGTTAAGGGATGAACAGCAGCGTCTCTTCTAAAATGTCTCTAAATGCCTAACTGCGGTTGCCAACCCGCTTGCTAAACGTGGCAATTACTAGCAAAACTCCCTTTATTGGGGAGGCTTATGTTTAGCAGTGGACAATTAACAGCTGAAATAATGATGATATGGGATAGACTACTTTTTATCCCGGTTAGTAAATATATCTTGGTTATGTAGGGAAGATCACGCGTAAAAGCTAGTTTGAAATAAATTTAAATTCCCAAACAAAATTTACATCAAGAGATAATTTTAATTTACGTTAATAATAATTATAATAAGTCACACTATATTATAATTATTCAGTTAACTACGTATTAATGTAAACGATTATTAAACTCGTCGGGCAACGAAATACGAAATTAAATATTTGAACGTTACCACAGTTTACAACTTATGGAGTTATGAGGTAACAAACATAAAAAAATACAAATAAATTAAGAACCCCTTCTTTTTGAAGTAGGTTGAAAAAGAAATCTCATAATATACCAAACCAACTGGCAAATGTAGCACTACATTACTAATACTCGTGTAACGCTCTATCTTGGGGGAAAGGGATTGTTAGTAATGTAAACTGTTGCTAGTATTATTGGTAGTAATTGTTTACAGGGGGAAATGCGTGGAGATCAACCTGATAGGTTATATAGCAGTGGCAGTATTAGACTATATTACGAACAATCCCTTTCCCCCCAGCCTATTATATATGGTCTGATCAATCTCTACCAAGTCCCCCTGAAAATTATTGTGATAAATTTCTTGTTAATTCATGATGATCTAACTGACCTAACTTCATCCTCATCTATCATCCCTCACTAGTAGGTACCAGTGAGGGATGATAGTGAGGTGGTTGTCGTATGTCAATAACACAGGCAATATCATTTCTTTTTTATTTTCAACCTATTATTATTTATTTATTTACTCTTTATTGCATCACTTAAAGAATAACATATTACAGTTATGAATATATATATTAAATTTATGAAGTACAAAAGCGGTCTTATCTCGAACAATCAAAGTAATCTCTTCCAGACAACCTTTGCGTAGAGTATTAGCTCGAGTTTTCCTTTTCTTACACTGGTCAATAATTATCTATTCTAATAGATATTATCTATAAATACGTATAGAACTTTAGCCTCCTACACATTAATATCTATTTCAAACTGCAGCCAGATAAATTAGAATAATACTGGATATCCAGCAATAAATTCATGATCCAACAATACATAACAGTTCGTAACTCTGCCAGAGTAGTCAGTACTATTCCAGGCATTATAGGAGGTGAACGTCTCGCCGCGTATACAAACTTTTCCCTCTCGATCTTTGTAAATAAGGGAAATTGTGTTCTATTTGTAATGTTGCAATGAAGTTATTTGTGTAAACATAAAGCTCTTATAAGAAATGTGTAAAACTAAATGCAATGTAAACATTCGGATTTAGCGCCGCTCAATGCCTGGTAAGTTGTCATTAATACCAGATAATTAGTAGGTTCTCAAAATAGTAGCAATATCTTTGCTATATAAAGCCTTAATATTATACAATTAGAGGGCATATAAATAAAACGCCGCCTACTTATCTTATTCTTTTAAACAATTACTGAACTATTTTAAAATTGTTTACAAAATAAATTATGAATAATTATTAATTACTTAATATGAATTATTATAATTAATTAATTAATTTAATTCATTTAAAAAAAGATAACGTTTCCAATTTCTTAATAGATATTTTACGCGATTTTTTCAATTCTGAACTAATTTCAGTGATTTTGGCAAACGATTGGATTTACTTCCGTATTCCCATACAAATTTTATTATAATTGCAGTCTGTTGTACATTATTCATAAATTATACACATTATCTGATTCATAAATGCAAATAGATTAAATTTTAGTTAATTTTAAGCTTTTGCATTGTTTAGATGCACATGTTTAAATTCATTGTCGTAAATTATCGTAACGCGACTACAAGTAAATAGTACCTACATATTTGATTTTCATCCCTGATGTTTCAATATGGACTGTTTACCTGTAATCGCATTGCGTCAACACCCTATTGTGAAATTAAATATTTATTTATTTATTTATACTGATAACTAAAACAAAAATGCAATTTACATTGCATTTTTGTTTTAGTTATCAGTATGCTAGAAAGCTGGCTGCTTTTTGTACATACCTGTTCGCCAATAGATTATAATGAAATATATTTTATTAATTAATAAATGCAATTTAAATAAAAGTAATTTTATTAAATAATAGTAAATAACTACTAAACGATGTAGATAAGTAAATAACTCATTAAAATTAAAAAATAGAGCCGGCAACAAAAATGCAAATCAAATCAAGTCACAGGTATGACAGATATGTATATATGTGCATATGTATGTATCAAGTCATATTTATTGCTCGCTACACGATAAAATAAGGTGTGACATATAACAGTAAGTACATGACATGCTGCACCCCGTGTATGCAAATATTAAATTACATTAAAATATTATACTACAAGTATAATGTTTTTTTTTTTTTTTAATTACAGTATTCTTAATGTCCAATCATTATATAAAATACAATATTGTATTTGACTATTATTTTTCTTTATTTTTCATTACAAATTTATAAATAACAGAATGCATGTGTAACAAATTGTAAATATATTTAATTCATTTAGGTAACTAATTTATTTTATTCTAAATTAACTTAATTCTTCACTAACCTTGAAATATATAACTAATAGTGGCATTAACTCTGTTTGCTTAAAAGTAATAAATGCCTATCACAAACAAGAAATCGTGACTTAAATTATAATAAGAAACTTTCTCTGATGTAAATAGTTGACAACCTATTTACATTGTCAAGATCAACTAACTATTTGTAAATACATTTCTACGTAATCATTTGATACCTGGAGATTGTTGCTTGATAGACAATTTAACATCAAACTAAAACTTTGTTTGCATCGATTCAAATCCGACCAATTGTAATTTTGCATTAATTAATTTTGATTTTCGAATTTCTTACTAAATCAGTCCATAACTCTGAAGATCTTTTGTTTTACGACTTTTAAAAATCTATATAAAAATATTTGGAACTGATAAATTGACTGACCTAATATGTATGAAAGATATTTTGTTATTCTAAAAATCTAAGAACTAGTTCTGTTACTTGAACTTATTGACTAATTTGTAATACCTTTGTGTAAAATGTCATGTCTTTACTAGGCGACAGTCAGTGTGAGCATATAACTTTTTATACAAGAGTAACATTGTTTGCCACCTGACGGAAAGCTATATTTATCATCTGACTTGAACAGGCATCACAGAGTACATTATGGCGGCCATAACACCCACCCGTTGTAATGCTCTCCGAGCATTACAAAATATATTATTATGCCTCCGTACCCTGTAATTTCCGTGTAAGTAAATTGTAATCGCCGTGTGGTCCCGGAATAGAATGGGCTCCTTTCCCGGGAGTGTCGTAAAAGGCGACTAAAGGAACATAATGGTCGAAGGATGGGCAGCAGTGATCCTCTTAAAACATCACCTATAACAGGGGTGGCCAATCCTGATCGACCGGTCGATCGCCATCCAGTCGGTCATGGCAAGGCAAAAAGTATAATATTTTGATAATCTAGCGTAAGATGCTCAGTCGCAAATGCTCACACTACTATAAATAGGTAGTCACTGAGAATAATTTTCTATTTTATGTTTTCCCTTATAATAAAAAATACTACAATACTCCATAATTGTGTACTGAACTACATTGTTTCCTTTGAAATTTCTAGAAATATGTAATTTTTAGATGGCACAAGATTTCATCAGTAAACAGTAGATCTTTTCGACCACCCCTGACTATATAACCTGACTGCGGTTGCCAACCCGCTTGCCATACATGGCAACTACTAACCAAGGCCTGTATTCAGCAGTGGACAGTTCACGGCTGATATGATCATGATAATGATGCCCTGTAATTTCACTCCCATACACAATTAAACAACCCTTCAAACTGAAACACAGCCATACAAACACCGTTCCTTGGCAATAGAAACACGAGTGCAAACTTAAAATAATTACACCAAATGCTGCACTTATATCTGTATTATAATAATTGAGAATCAAACAACGCACATGCGAAAACATAAGCTAAATCATCCGTTCTTGAAATTATAAAAAACATATCCTAAAGAGTAATGACAAAAAGTCTAAATCAGGCCTTATCTTTCAAAGTCACTAAGGTCAAATCCGCTAGTTAAAACCTTTAAGAGTTCAATTGTGCTGATCATAAATAAACATTTTTTTTTTATTTTTTTTTTTCATTTTTTTTCACAAATATATAAATTCCAGTGTACGTAAGCATAGAATTTACAATCTGCCATAAATCGTTTGGCGAGTAATATACACTCCTTCAAACATTTAAAATAGAGATAAAAGTATCTATAATTCTACACAACATAAAAATTTACATTACATAATGTAACTTATTAATTATAATCATAAAATAAACACAAAATGCACATATTTATAAATTATGCATTATAATAAAAATCATAAATAAACATGGCTACCACACAAGATCTATTTAATAGACTTACATTGCTATTTATTGACCTCCGGAGAGAGGGTAATACGAGACAAACGTACTAAGTTCACGATAGTTACATAAAAATATATCTTCGTATCGTTGAGAGGGTTTACATCGAATGGTGGTCTTTTATTACGCTTCGTTTTATTCTTTCGACCTGGTCTCCTATTCTGATATTTTATACAGTACTAAACTGACACAGGATTGCAATTTCAGATGTAATGACGTACATGATACAACTTGGTTTTAAGTCTATATGCCATAGATATGTAAAATATTTATTTATTTATTTTAAATAAATAAATACAATAGATATATTATATAGTCGGTTTGGTCATTTGGAGAGGATGATGAAAGAAGAATTACGAAAGAGATTTATCGAGCAAGAATGAATGGAGATGTCGGACGGACGTATGTTGACCAAATAGGCGACGTGCTGAAGAAGGGCCAAATTAAAAGTACCCGTAACCGGCGAGCGTGTATGAAAAGATTGATAGATGTGGAAGAAGCGAAAGAGGTTTGTATGAATCGAAGCATTTGGCGTTCTATTGTTTCTGCCTACCCTAATGGGAGACAGGCATGACAGATATGTATGTATGTATGTATATTATATAGATGGTTTGTATCCATATAAATACTTCTAGAAAAGTGAATCAATTTTTTCATACAATTTTGCGTGATAAGTTATGAGTGATTCCTTTATAATTTCCATATTTATTTTGATTTATAAATTTTACCCCTTTTTGATGCGCAAAAACTCATTTCGTTTATTAAATAATTAAATATAGATTACGTCAAGGTATATTGTATGTGTATATATAGAACATTGAGTAAAAAAACGAGTCAACTAATTAGCTGACAAAAGGTTGACCCGTTTTTCAGGCTCGATGCTATATCTATGTAATCTAAGCATATATGTTACTAATAACGCGTGACGCTTATGTTAAATCGAATTGACCGATTTTTCCAAATACACATTCCAGCTACTTTCTGCGAATGTCGTCTGAAAAACTCTGCAATATTTGCAAAATGCCTATAATTTCTGTGAAATTGTGACTTAAAATTGTTACTGTACAAAATTTATAAAACACAAGGATATCAGCCGTTAATTATTCACTACTGAAGGTTTGCCAGTAGTTGCCACACTTGTCAGGCGGGTTGGCAACGGCAATTAGGCTTTGGAGATGTTTTAAGAGAATCACTGCTGCCCATCCCTCGACCATTAAGTTGTCTTTAGTCGACTCTTCCTACACCCACGGGAAAGAAACGGATGGACTATTCTATGTCGCGACCACACGGCGACTACGTTACCACCGATAAATTCAAAGTCTGATTCTATATTCTATTTTTCAATTTTAAAAGTTTTTATCTTTTTATTTATTTATTTCATCCATATTTAAATATCGAAATTGTTGCAGTATTGAGCTTAATGATTGATGTCTTTTTCTCAATGTCCTCTAACCCAAAGGTTGTTCGGAAGAGATTGCTTAGCGTTAAGGCCGCCTTTTGTATCACTTCTCATTAATATTTACTGTATTTGTTATTCCTCTTTTTACTTGGTGCAATAAAGTGTAAAATAAATAAATAATAATAATAACTCCCCTTCCCTTAAATACGACTATATATTGAAATGAAATTTATATAATCAAGCGAGATCACAATTGTCTAGTTTATTTGCAACGGAACAAATTGACACATTTCATTCTACATAACCGCACCAGTTGTTACTCTCTCGTGCATAAAGCGTTTAATGCATTTTATTTCTAGAAATGTTCGCTATGCATAATCTGACATCTATGTTGTACAATCCTTACTAATATGATAAATGTGAAAGTTTGTTTATTTGTTACCTTTTAGCGCTTAAGCTGCTTAACCAA